TTTTGTATCAGACAATTTGTCTGATAAAGACTCAAGTTTGCTGGACATGTTCAATAAATAGGCACAAGGCAAAATGCTTTGTAAATTATTAATTACATAAATATATTAAATACATAAGTTATGTAATTATTAAATACATAATTAAATATATAACAAAAATGTATAATAAAAATAAAATATTATTAAATACATAAATACTATGTAAATATATTAAATACATAAATTAAGTTTACTTATTACTTATTTAAATAGAGTAACAAATTATTCATAATATTTACAATAAATCCATTTTATTTAAATTATCAAAGAATTTTATATGTAATTACATTTATATAAACTTTTTCCTAGGATTAATTTTATTAACACTTTTAAGAGCGAAATTTTTTAGCGTGAAAACAAACTTATATATATATATATATATATATATATATATATATATATATATATATATATATATATATATATATATATATATATATATATATATATATATATATATATATATATATATAAACACACAGTATATTTTATTAGATCAATGGAAACTGGGAACTGTCTTTACAGGTCTGCTGCCCTATTGATTAATTCATCAGATGAAACACATGAGAAGCAGCGTTTAACTCAGCATACCCAATGATTTTAAATCAGGTAAAATCTAAAAAATTTTCTTCACTCTCTAGTGTTTTCATGGCATGTGTTTCATTTGAGTCTTCTGATTACTTTTCCGAATAAAGACAATTGTTTCTGATCTTATAAAAAAGGAGTTTTTTAATATTTGTAAAAACAATAAATTTGCATCTTTTCTTTGTTTAATTGCATTGTCTACAGTATTTAATAAGCAGATTCGGTCTATATATTCTGAATTCAGCAATTGAAAAATATAAAAAATTGTTCTATTTAAGTATTTTTCCACAAGGTAATCATAAAACAAATAAAGACATTTTGAGCATTTTATGGTGTAACAAAGACTGCTCTTCTATTTCCCAAGATAAGGTCATGTGGTCACCTAATCAGTTTTTCTCTATTATAAAAAGAGAAGTATATTTAAAGAATAATTTCAAAAGTGATTTAGAGAAAAGATCATGTTCAGTTTTACCAAATGTTCTGTCACAATCTCTTGTTACTATTATGGTTCTTAATTCAAATTGTCAACCTCCTAAATACTTCTTTAAAAAAAAAAAAGGATCAGTTTAATCTCAAATTAGATTTTGCGAAGATAATGTAACTAAAATCACAGGTTCAAATGTTAATGTTACTCCTAACCCAATTTTGCCTACTTGTGTTCATTTGTACATCAGATCAGTCTTCAAGCCTTCCTTTTTATGATATTTCTACTTACTATGAGCAAGGTAAACATCTAGTTAAAAAAGTATTTATTCCTAACACATCTTTTGTTTTTCCGGTTTTCGGTGAGAAAAAACAGCAACAATCAATTCACATAAATGGTTTCTTCAATATTTGTGGTTAGCAATCTGTGGTTATTTACAGATTGAAGATAGAGCATACTGTCTTCCATGTACACTGTTTAGTTGTAATATTTCAAACAATACATCTATAATAAACTTAATTCTAAAACCTTTTACAATATGGGGTAATGCAACTCATGTTTATACAGATCACAATAATAGTTGTCGACTTCACCAAATGTCTATGAATTGTCTTAATAGTTTGCAATCTAGATCTAATTCAAAACAAAATCTTTTTGAAGTTGACATATATAGTATAAGAAAGAAACTTATTTTAAGTAATCAAAATAAACTAATTCTAATCATAAAAACAATTCTTTTTCTTGGTCAGAATATTATTGCTTTTCGAGGTCATTGTGATATTGGAGACCTCGAAAAGCAATAACATTCCGACCATCGCGATATAATCCAGATATTGGAGAAACATGTAAAGACAATATTGGTATTGGTAATTTTGTTGGTGATAAAGTTCTTGAGCAACATATTCGTTCTGCTCCTAAAAAGGCAACATATATATCTAAAACTTCTCAAAACCAACTTATCGAATGCTGTGGAAAAGCAACTGAAGAAGTTCTGGTTAACAAAATTAAAAAGTCAGCCTATTTTTCTATATCGCGTCATGAAGCCACTGATTGTTCTAATGTTGAACAACTATCTCTTGTAATAAGATATATTGACTGTGATAACAGTGTTTGTGAAGACTTTCTGATTTTTTTTTTAGTCTTGCTCAAAAATAGTTTCTGTGATTGATGACCTTGGTCTTGATATCCAAAAATGTAGAGTTCACAATATGATGGTGCAGGAGCAATGCCTGGAAAATTAAGAGGTGTATTAACTAGAATTAAACTTATAAACTCAAAGGCACTTTTTGTTTACTGTGAGTGCCATAAACCTAATTTAGTTGTTAATAAATCATGCAATGTTTAGAGTGTTAGAAATGTTCTTGATCAAATCAAAGATATATCTTACTTTTTTAACTTATCTCCTAAAGGTGCAAGCTGTCTCAATAAGTTTATTATTCCAGGTCAAGCAAAATTGATTGATACATGTAGAACTAGATGGATTTAGAAACTAAGAAGTCTAGATGCTTTTTTTTGACAACTACATTTCAGTCTTTCATTTAATGGAAGAAACATCATGCAATGAAGGTAAGAACTATAATATTGATACATCTTTTAAAACTTCATATTTTTTAAATCTCATGACAAATTTCTTCTTTATTGTAAGTTTAGATTTAACAAAACAAATAATGGACTACTTCTATGCCATCACTGTTGTCCTACAAATCAAAACATTTGAAATATCACAACAGTGTAATAAAATTAAGTGTTTAAAAACAAAAATTTTGAATTTGAAAAAAATTTTGATGTCTATCATACTGACTGGTACTCTACTGCTCTTGATCTAGCTAAGACTCGAGAAGTTAAATCAAGGTTGTGTGGCAGACAAATATAGAGATAACTATCTTTAAAACACTATTTCAGACTATTATAAACATTGCATCACAATTCTAGATCATTTAATTAATGAATTAGAAGATAGATTTAATGAATTAGAAGATAGATTTAATGATGGTGAGATTGTTTACAAAGATTTTTGCATTCTTATATAACAGATATGCCTTATATAACAGATATGTCTTTATATAACAGATATGTCTTATATAACAGATATGCCAGACAAATATAGAGATAACTATCCTTAAAACACTATTTCAGACTATTATAAACATTGCATCACAATTCTAGATCATTTAATTAATGAATTAGAAGATAGATTTAATGATGTTGAGATTGTTTACAAAGATTTTTGCATTCTTATATAACAGATATGCCTTATCCTACATCGATTCATGCAGAATTAGATTTGGGCAAAACATTTTGGAACAGTCAATCTTAGTCCCATTAACAGATACTTCTAAAACTATTATTATGAGGGGTTATCCAAATATTAGGGAAGGTATTTTAATAATGGAAACAATACCTATTATTTCATGTGAATGTGAGCGTAGCATTTCTGTTATACGCAGGTTAAAATTTTATACACAAAGCTGCATGGCAGAGTTAAGAGTTTAATTCTTTAGCTTTAATGTCTATTCATCAAGAAATAGTTTTTGATATTAAAAGGGTTTTAAAAATATTTTCTGTTTCAGGGGAATGGCGCTTAGAATTGGTTTTTACCTAATTTATTATAGTGACATAATTTAAGCAATTCAATCTTTTAGAGGTTGGTATCAGGTTGGCAAAAAGTATTTGATACAAAGGTCTTACCATAAAACATAGAAACATAGTAGGCAATTTTTTGCTGATCTCAAACACTTTCAGGTTGACAATTAGGTCGACCCTGATTCCGAGGATTATATATATATACAAATACATATATATATATATATATATATATATATATATATATATATATATATATATATATATATATATATATATATATATATATATATATATATATATATATATATATATATATAAAATATTTACTTATGTTTTGTGCATATTAAAAAATTGAAAAAATTATTTTAAAAAATTGAGCATAAATCCCTTCAAAATGAAAAAATAATAATCCATAAATGGAGGGGTAACCTAAGAAAACAAGACTAATACTTAAACATAAAATGCCTAAACAACAAGACTAAATACTTAAACATAATCTGCCTATCAAGAAAAGAAAAGAATCCAAAAATGAGGGCTAACCTAAGACAACATGACAATTACAGATAAAGTGCTAAGTCCTGTGGCTTACCGCATTGTCAGTGCACTTTGTTAAGTAAGTTAGACAAGTATTAAATGTCTAATTTATGAACAAAAAAGCCAAGACAACATTAGCTATAAGTTTATTTTAAATAAGTAATTGAAAACAATAAGTACTCTAGCGTAATTAGCGTTTATTAAATATTGGAAAATTTTATCACCCACCCCAAGCCCAACAAAACCCACAACAAGTAAAAATTAATAAACGGTCCCCTGTTTGTTAATTTTTACTTGTTTATTAATTTTAACTTATTATCAACAATAAAGCTCAAAACTAAAATAAAAATCAGTATAAACCATTCATATATGTCAATATATGTTGCCGATAAGAATAAAAAAATTCAGTTTAATCAGGCTTTAAAAATCGTCAATATATAAAAAATCTTGTAAATCTTGATTTGTTAAAAATTAACTTTTGGTTTATTCTTTACAGTAGTATAAAACTAGAAGCTTAACTAAAATTCCCACTTCTGTTTTTATTCCCCTTCCCCCTTCCACCTCTTTTGAATTAAACACGCAAGAGTAAAAAATAAACAGACATTTTGACCTACTGGCCGAGCATAATTGCAGTTATCTGTGTAACCCCTCCCCCCAGGTGATATAGAGTTATATTAAAAAATAGGCATCACTCATAAAAAATCCTGCATCTGCCCCTTGCACACTCACTAATTTATCAGTTACAACGTGAATGTATTATCTATTATTGAAAATATATATAAAAAAAAACAACATAAAAAGTAATAATGTAAATAATGAAAAATAGAATTACCTGGTTTAAGATCATAATGAATAACAGGAGGTTTGCGTTCATTAAGGTATTTTAATGCACTGACAACCTTAAAACATTTATTCTTTAAATTGCAACATTAAGTAGTACATTCTATACATATATAATAAATTTCATACAGTAATTTTGCAGTTTGCTTAAAATTTTTGATTGAAAAAATAATAATCAAGCCATGAATTTTAATTTTCTTTAAACCTCTTTAACCATTGTATTTTACCAAAAAAAAATTCAAAATATTTTATTATTGATCCCATTTTTTGCTAACATATTTCTTGATAAAATGAAAAACAATGGAAAAATATAAAAACAATATTTTTCAATGTAGTACACTTCGAATTTCTATTTAAATGAAAAAAAATCTGCAAATATCAAGTATAATTTTTCTAAAGATGGCGGAGAGCTAAGAAATATTTTTACTTTAAAAAGATTTTCTGCTACTGAGAATTTAATGTAAAAAGAAGAACTTCTATTGTCATAAGTATATTTGAAATGAATAATCATGAGCCACCAATCAATAGACCATCTCATATGATTCAAATTTTATCAAATAACACAAAAAATAAAATATAAGTGAAGCAAAAAACAAACCTGCATCATTACAACTCGAGCCTAAAATTAAATCAAATATAAAATTAAATGAATATAAAACAATTATGAATATATAAATAATAAAATTTACATTTTACAAACAACAATGAGTAACTAAAATCCATTCTCTCATCATTAATATAAAAAAATGCTTATAAAAATAAAAATACTAAGAAGTATATTATAAATAATATAAAATATATAATAATAATAGCTTATATTAATATTCCCTGTAAGCATTATAATGATAAAGGAATAATAATAAAACAAAATAAGTAATAAAAATAAATTAACAATAATTTTGAGCTTAAAGAGGAGGGAGTTGCTACATGGAATCTTGTAGTAGTAAAGTAGTTGCTACATGGAATCTTGTAGTAGTAAAGAGCCACAAAATAAAATAACTTTTCAACAAAAAAAGTTATTTTTTCATAACGTTATTAATAAAAAGATGTTTAAAATTAAAACCTCACTTCATTCTTAGACATTTTTGAATATATTATTACATTTATTATTAGAAGCATTATTAGAAAAAGTAAAAAATGATGCCTCACCTCTTTTTCAGGTATTGTTTTATGTTGCTTTAGAATAAAGTCAAGGTCATTACCATCACAATATTCTAGCACTGTAACAAAGCTGAAAATTAAAAGATTTTCTGTAATATCATCTGAATTTTCTACAATCTTAACTAAAGAACACAAAAATAAAAAATAAAATGTAAATAAAAAATAAGAAAACCTATTGGAATCAATTTCAAAGACATCTTGAAGTCGAACAATTCTCTATAAAAAAAAATAAAATTAAAATGTTGACATTGACTGATGAAACCAAACCAAAAGCACATACTGAAAGCACATACTGAAAGCACATACTGAAAGCAGATACTGAAGCACATACTGAAAGCACATACTGAAAGCAGATACTGAAAGCACATACTGCAAGCACATACTCAAAGCAAATACTAAAAGCAGATACTGAAAGCAGATACCGAAAGTACATACTGAAAGCACATACTCAAAGCAGATACTGAAAGCACATACATCAACTGAGATTTTTCATTATTTTTCATTTTCTACTTTGTTTGAAGTGTCGGGAGTTTTAGAAATAATAAAATAAAGTGAGAGAATATATTACTACTGTGTCAACCTTAAACCATAATATTTTTTGTTAACATCTGTGATTCTATGCATTGATTTTTGTATTGCTGGCATACTGGCCAGAGTGCATTTGTGGCAATCCTGCTTTTCTGATTGAATTAAAGGATTTTTAAATTATCATTCAAGGTTGTTCAGCAGAGCACAAAAGATTTTTTTTTTTTAATTTAATTCTCAAAATAATTAAAAACTTTTCAGTCACTTTAGTTTTTCACTTCGGTGAATCAACAAATTTTCATTTAATCACTTGATTTAAAAATTACCTGGTTGTCGCTCAACCAGGTAATTTTTGACTTCCTGCTAACAGCAACAAATTTTTCAGCAAACTTGATTTTTTTGTGGTTTCTTTTCAATGGCCAATAAATGCCTCAAGTGCTCATTAAGAATTGGATCTGTTGTTATAAAAAGTTTTTGCAAGGCTTGAATGTTGCCATGACACAGGTAAGGTTGCAATTCAGCCTTATCATTTTTGTTTAGATGTCAACTCCATAGTAGACCTTAACAAGAGTTCAAAAGATTTTTATAATACTTTTAAGAAAAACGGTTATGTTCCATAATTACTTCAATGCCACAGTGTAGAAGGTGAAAATTAGATTTTTCTGTTTTAGTGACAAAGAATGTGTCTAGTGCTGTAGAAAGGGAAACTAATACGTCTTGCCTGCTAATGTTGTGAAGGTTGTGTGATCCTTTCAGCTGGGTCTAGCAAACATTCATTGACAAACATGTTTTAACACAACCATTAAAGCATACATCAACACTGCACAAAAAACTCGGTTCATGCCATAGCTAAGCCAGGTACAAACAGTTTAATCTAATTAAATATTAATTTTGCATTTATAAACTTACTTTTCGGCAGGTTGGTGGCTAAAGTTTACTTAAAGCATTTATGTTACTAAAGGTCTTAATTGACTTTATAGTATCAAAGAAGAATGAAATACCAATATTTTCCGAAATGTAAAAATTAAAAAGTCAACTAGATTCCTGAGATTAAAAAATTAAAAAATCTCTCACTGGTTCTGAGGTATCTGCCAAATTATAATATGTAAGTTTAGCTTATGATAAATAAAAAAGAATCCAAGGAAAACTTTAGGAAGAGCTTAAGCAAGTTTTTAAAACCAAATGCTTTTCCTAGTTTTATTGTGATATTTTTATTAGAATAACTACCATCCAATTTATAATAATTAAATTGTAGGTAATATAGAGTTTTCTTTTTCCTAGGCTTCATTATGGATAGAAAACCTCACTTGTTTGTATCTAGTTTATATATACACATTTGATGTGTATATACAAATTTGTATATACACATTATGAGCCAAATAAGGCTTAACATAAACTCCTTAAACATAGTGAAGGCACATTATACATTATATTTAAGTACATAAATAAAACTTACATGGTGGTTTAACGATCGATGAATAGTATATTCTCTAACTGCATGTCTACAAAGAAAAAATTACTTAATCAAATTATATAAGTATATAAAGACATTAATTTATACTACAGTTTTTAGGAAAACAGTAAAATAATTTGAAACTTATATAAACTAAGGAGTTTTGTAATGGTTGTACTATTTTCATATAATGTCATAAAAGTAGAAAAAAAAAATCATTTTTAATTATGGTTTACATTTATAAAAACATTTTGAAAAAAGTAAAAGAAACATTTTTTAAAATTGTTTTTTAGGCTATATATCTATTTTAGGCTACATTTCTACTTTAGACTATACATCTACTTAGCTAAATATCAAAATAATAATATAACAATAACTTTTTCTCAATTATTCAAAAAAAATTTTAAATCATTAAAATTTTTTTTGTAAAATAAATAACATGCTAACTGCTTAATTTTAACTTTTTTTCCTCGAGATTAATGTCTTCTCATTCTAAGATAATTTTTAGGATATGATTTTACTATTTCAAATAAATGCAGTTTTAACTTATATTCTCATAAATAAAAAATTGCTTCAAAGATGTGTGCATCTTTAAAGATTTGTATGAAGATCTTTGTAGAAGATCTTTACACAATACCACAGTTAGGGATGTCTACAATGCAAAAATATTTTCAAAATTGACCAAATAGAACTTTTTCCCATTCTGTTGTTTGTGTACAATGTAAAACTTTCTTTTTACCTAATTTTAATAACTATTGTAGAGCCCCCTCAAAACTATTGAACATTTACAAGTCCCTAATATTAAAAAAAAAGTTTTTTAAAATAATGCCTTGTCGAGGTTTAAAAATAATTATAAACAAAAAATCTTAAAAAATTCCATTTTTATAATCTTTTATTTCACTTGACCAGAACTTTTCATCAAGTATCTTGTCCACAAGTTTGATTTTTATTTGTTATGTCATCAATTTATTTGTGTAGTGCTGTGTATGTAACAAAGGTCTTATTTTGAGGCGTGGGTGATAGCGTTGCGGTTTTAAGTCCTCTTCAGGGAGATTTTTATTTTTAAATTTTTTATTTCTAGGAGGTCATTATTTGTGTGCTCATACAATTGTACTATCTCATTACATCACAGCTCACATTATTTGTTTACTCATACAAATAATGTTTACATAATAAAAACCTTATTTGTATGAATAAAAATGTTTAAATACTTCAATTTTTTCCTTGTCGATATCGTAAGGTAGGCCTGTTGATATTATAGGTATCTAATTTTAAGGCATGGCTTACAGGGTTGTGGGTTCGAGTTCTACTCAGTGTGCTCTTTTTTTAAATTTCAATGTTTTTTCATTGTTATAAAAAAATATGTTGGTATTATATTGCAGTTTATATTGTCAGTTTATAAGTCATTATTGTAAATCAATATTTGCTATATATATATATATATATATATATATATATATATATATATATATATATATATATATATATATATATATATATATATATATATATATACATATACATATATATATATATATATATACATATATATATATATATATATATATATATATATATATATATATACATATATATATATATATATATATATATATATATATATATATATATATATATATATATATATATATATATATATATATATATGTGAAATATTGTTAACAACATTTAGCCAACATTAAGATAAATATTGTGCCAATCAGAGGTGCTACTCCAACTCCCAAGCAAAATTTTTGAAAAATTCTTTGAATTCTTTAGAAAATATTATGTGATAATAAAAAAAATTTTTTTTTTGCTAATTATATGATAAATTCTTTAAGGTTTAAATATTTTGTACATGCACGTGCAATACCGAGAAGTTTACTGTTGGAGTCGGAGTCGCGATTTTCTTTAGCCACTTAAACTTCACTAAAAATAATTCCTAGTAGCAAGCGACATTGCACCAATGTTGCTTGCTACTAGGAACTTAATTTCAACTCTTCCTTTTATTTCTTATAGTCTGAACACTGTTTAATAATGATATTGCAACATAACAATAACAATGCTGCATAACTAATTATAATTTGCTTTGTTAAATACTGTAACTTATTGTAAAGACTAAAAAATAGAAAATAAAATATAGCAAAAACATTTGCTAAAAAATATAATCTTTTTTGTATTAAAAAGCAGAAAATATACTTTTTAATTTCAGGTCTGATTCGAAATCAATCTTGTGCAGACCTGACAACCTTTAGTTTTTCAATAGCTTTGAGGGGAGTCTACAATATTATTAAAACTAATTAAAAAAAAATTTACATAGTACACAAACACCAAAATGGTAAAAAAATACAATATGGGCGGTTTTGAAAATTTTTTTGCATAGTGGACACCTCACTAGCTACAGTACTAAACATATAATTTCATCTTACTTTATATAATTGGCTTTTTTATCTTCTTTCCAATCGTTGTTTAGTTGATGAACTTTACATGCTATATAGTGTAGTTCTTTTAAATCAAATCCCTAAAAATAAATGAAATTAATAGAAATAAATAAAAATAATTGTAACAATTTACAAAATAGACTAAAAAACTAGCCAAACTGAGTAATAAAGAGTTTAGTACAAGTCAGCAATAAAGTTGATTGTTATTAGAATAACAGATAGAGTTAATAAATTAGGCCGAGGATATATTTGAACCATAAAAATCATATAGACACTGCTTTTCTTTCAGATAAGTTTTTTTTTCCATTCATTTTCATCATATGGTTCATGAGTTCTTTTGATGTATTTTTGAAATATGTAAAAATTACACTTTTTTTAAATTTGATAATTTCAACATAAACAACAATCAAATTGTTATTCAGCAAAATGTGTAAATTTATCTTATAATTCATTTTGTATTCAATAAAAAAATTTATTATATTTAAAATATACAAATAAGACTGATCAAATTCTCCAAACTCAATATATTACAAAACTAAGCATTATATCCAATTAAATATATAAAAGTATAACGTGACTAAGGGTCCTGTGCCCAGCTAAAAATGAGACTTTTTACAAACCTGGCCCTGGCAAAAAAGGGTAGGTCGAGAATAACTTTACTAGTGCAGCGTGAAAGAAATAATTTAATAACCTCAAAACCTTTCTATAAAGAAACTAATAACAGAGTGAAGACTAATCGTAGGATAGTTGGAGAGGTCGAAGTATTTTCAAGAGTTTTGAAAAATCTGAAGCACTTATTTTGGACTTTTTAAAAATTTAGCAAAAATTGAGGAGAGTTCTGTATAACACTTTTTAATGCTGTGATGGAAATCTTATCTTAAGCACAAACTGTAGAAGGGCTTAATTGAAAATTAAATTTATCATTGGAGGCCAGAGTGATTTCGATGTTTAACAATGGGTTAATCTGTTTAACTGGCAGGAAGAGTATGGGTATTAGATTCAAGAGTCAAATTAGAGTAAGATTTCTTTGCAAATAACTCTGCTTTATTTTGGGGAGAAGTAAAAAGATCAGACCCATGAGTTAGAGATTAAATGTTAGACTTACTTTAATTAATTTTATAGTTGAAGGCTAAGTAAAAGTCTCTAGAACCTAAAATCAGAGGTTAGATTCAAGATTTAGTAAACTGAGAATAACAGAGCTTAATATCTAGCAGGACTTTTTTACATTGTCTCCTTTGCAATAATGAAAAGACATTTGTTCTTAAGTGAGATGTTCTTGTAAAAAAAAATTAAAAAATGATTAATGTTTAATAAAGCAACTGTTTAAGATGGTGAAAACTGTGGAGTAGAATGAGGCCTGAGTTAAAATTGAAGAATGTAATAAAAGCTTTGAAACTTTTATTCCAGAAGGAATAAAAGCTTCCAATATGCACTTTATGCGTACATATTATGGATACAAACATACATGTTTGTTATTTATTTAGATAGTGGCATACAATATCCTTTAATTTTTATATAAACTTTATTATTTATATGTTTGCCGAAAGAAAAGATGATCAGATGGATGTGCAGTGTGACTCTAGCAAGACAAGAAAAGGAGGCATAATCTTAGCCAGATTAGAAAAAAAAAATTGTATCGAACAACGCTTGTTAGAAAAGATGAAAGTAATTTAGGTATCAGCATGCAGAGAGATCGCAGTTTTAGTAGTAAATGGTAGTGGTAGAAGTAAGAAAACTTGAAAAGAGTGCTTTACATATTATATGAATGAGCTTTAGTTAAGAAAAAAAATGCTCTAGATTGTTTATATTAGAGAAAGAGCATAAAAGAGAAAGGCTAATGCCTGATGATAATGATGATGATGATGATCATCATGATAACGATCATGATGAAAAGATCATTATCATGGTGATGATGATCATCATCAGCATCACCATGATAGTGCATCAGCAGGCTTTGGCCAGGCCTTGCTAAGAAGCATTACACTATTTTAATTTTACGTACATACACTATTTACGTACATTACACTATTTTAATTTTACGTACATATACATGATTTATGTACACATTTTGCAATTTATGTTATGCTAAAACTTTTTTCAATTAGTTTATTTAAACAGTCTTTTAGAAAAGATTATGGGGAAAACATTAAGTTGTAATTATTTGTTGTAAAAAACATTTGTGGAATATTATTTTTATTAGATAAAAAAACAGATAGATAAAATAAACTTTTTTCTAATTTTCATTTTTTTTTTTAATATTTTAAATTTATATTTAGTTAATTTAAATTAAATTTATTACTAAATATAATTAAATATAAATTTATTTTATTAAATTTAATTAAAATTCTATTTAAAACTTCAAAACACTTTGTTTTAAAATTTTTTTTACAGCTAAATTTTTTTAACTATGTTAAAGCAACAAAAAAACAAACAAACAAAAAAACACATTTAATTCAAGTTGCTTTAAAATGTTTGTATTACATATAACTTTATTTAACATTTCAGTTTTGAAATTGCTTTTTAACAATTTTTTCTTTATCATTAATTTTTTGAATCGATCATAGACTGAACGCTGATTTAAAATGATTAACTAGTTTATAAGTAGTATGTAAAGATGTTGTTAAAGCCAAAATGTTAAAAAAAAAAGGTTTATAGTTTTTATTTATTTTTTGACTGTCAAAGTGAAAGGCTGTAATTTTTAATGCCATTTTTTTTCTCTCAAAGATAAGTTCCGGCTCTTTGATTTAAAAAAAAGTATTGGTCTGATTAATGCACTTTTGTAGTTAATAAATGACATCAAAACAAAAAGTTCTTTCAAACTCTAGTTACAAATGTTATGTTTGGGTTTTCCCTTTGCCATTAAATTTTATGTGGAAGAATTTCATTATTTTTTAAAACGAAACAAACTTTTATAACCGAATTAAATTAACACAATCAATAAGTAAGCGCTTTAAAAGCCCAACATATATTTGTCTTATTTTAAAAACAAAACTAATACTAGTGTAAAGTAAATGATACATAAATTTCAAAAATATAAGAGAAGTGGGGGCATAACCGATATGGAGGCAAAACTGCTTTCAACATTTCCTTTTGAAAAATGTTACCTAGTATGACAAAAAAATATATCACACGTTAGTAAAACAGTTTCTTTCATTTTGCTTATGTCAAAAAGAATGCGTGTTACATTTCTGAGAAGTTGTGTATAATGTTTATTTTGATAAAAATGTTATATTTACATCATATATTTCCAGACCTTTCTTTTGTGGATTCAGCAATATTTGATATTAGTGTTATCAGTGTTATTTCATCGAGTAAAAACCATTTTTGATGTCAACGTAATCTAATAGGTAAGCTATTGTATTCTTTCTAAAAACTGTTCTCTGGGGAAGAACTGCATAGGCGCACAGGAGGCACAACTGCATACTTTTAATATTTATCAAAGTTAGGTAACTACGAATAACAATAATTACATCAGTCACACTTGAATGCGTTCATGTAAAAACTTGAATAAAAATAGTTTTGTTTTGAGATGTTGGAAATTAGATTTCGTATTTTTTTATTTAATTTTTATATATGAGTTTTTGAATAAAATATAAAGCTAAGAGTATATTGAATGAGAAAACTTAGACTGTAAGTACAAAAAATGCCTACACAGTATGCAAATGTGCAATAAAATCAGCAAATAATCTAAGCTGTGAAAATTGTAAAGAAAATGTACCAAGAAAAGTGTACCCCCAACAATTTTTGTGATGGTGCAGTTGTGCTTGGGCAAAACCATTTTTTTCACCAAGTTTAATTTTTGTGTAATAAGATTTTTAAAAACTGTTTAATTTTTTTTTAAATTGCATCAATTAGCTTAATGATGTGGTTATTGAAATAAACTATTAAAAAACACATTTTGTTTTTATTTTTATAACATTAATCCAAATGTTACGGGAGCAGTACCCCCACTTTCCCTACTGATATTTGTTAAAAACATCTTAAAACTGAAAATAATAATATTTTTTTGGATATAATAAGAAATAGCAAAAATATTGGGTTTCATGGTAAATGAAAATATTTTGATGGAAATAAAAAAATAACAAAGCAGAAAAGCAGTAATCTTCGAATTACAATTTTTATTTTGTCAAATGCCAGTTGAACTAAAATGTTTTAGGTAGCGCAAACGTTTTTTATAAAGGGGAAAACCCAATCTAATAGTGTATTTGTAAATAGTTTAAAAAACTCTATGGTAAGTACATTTAAATCCTTTAAAAAAAACCCCATAAAACTAATGTTTTAAAGAAAAAAAATAAGTTCAAATAAGTATAAGATTTTAAAATAAAATAGGTAATTTTTTTTTTATTTAAAACAACATTTAAATTTTATTTATAATTTTTTATAAAACTATTGTTTAGTTTAAAGATATTTCATAAAGATAAAGACTTACAACAATTTTTAATGTAGTTTATAAAGTAAAGTTACATTTATTTGCGTTATGCTTTTCTGTTACGCAACAAAATCTCATAACAAGGCCTGCTTTGGGCTTCTTCTTTTATGCTGTTGATGATGATGATGATAATAATGATGATGATGATCATCATCATCATGATAATAATGATGATTACGACAATCAGGTTGATCATGACGTTTATATATGCATATATATACAAAATATATGAATTTTGAATGAAAAAAATCTACTTTAGGGTGTATAAATGTTTATGCAGCTCTGGTCACTACATTTTATCAAACTTGGTCCTGGTAAAATATTGACCCCGGTCACTTACAACTGTCTGATGCTAAGCTCCATTATTCTCAGTTTACTAAATTTTGAATTTCAGTTTACTAAATCTTGAATTTCAGTTTACTAAATCTTGAATTTCAGTTTACTAAATCTTGAATTTCAGTTTACTAAATCTTGAAACTCAGGAGTTAGGCTCTAGAGACTTTTGGTTTTCAACAACGCCATTAACAAATGTAAGTCTAGTATTTCATCTCTAATTCATAGGACTGATCTTATTAACTCTCCCAAGAATAAGGCAAAACTATTTGCAAAAAACTTATCTTTTAATTCAACTTCTTGAATCTTATGGCCACACTCTTCCTGCCATTCCAGTTAAACAGGTTAACCCATTGTTAGACATTCAAATCACTCAGGCTTCTGTTGCTTAAGTCATATCTCAATAATAATCTTCTACGAGTTTTCCAGAGTTCTCTTCAATTCTCTCTGAACTATTTAATACGAGCTTGACTGAATCTTGTTTGCTTGACTGAATCTTGTTTACCTGCCTGCTGGAAAATGGCAACTGTCCAAGTTTTAAAAACTCAAGAGAACATTCTGACACCTCTAATTATCCTCCAATCGGTCTTCTCTTTATTATTAGTGAGATCTTTGAGTCTTTGATCAACATATTTTGAACATTCCATCTTGAGTCAAATAACTTACTGTCAGACAATCAATACGGTTTTCGATCTTCTCATTCTACAGCTAATTTGCTAATTGCTGAATGATTTTTTCATGCATTAAATGGAGGCGGCAAATATCTCTTGCTATATCTACTATATAGCTCTTGATATATCTACTATATATTAACAGGGTAGAAGTAGAGCGCTTGCTTTAAAAGCGAGAGGTTCCGAGTTTGATCCTCACCATGTCCCTGGTAGTACCGTGCTCAACTTGTTTCTTCGCACAGAGGCCTTGTTTGCCAAGATTCGTCTTTTGGAGTTATAGAGTTGAGAGAGGGTTAAAACTACCTTTAAGTAGCCTGCACGCCTGTAGTGGCCTTCTCAGCCTTGGGGAGGTGAATTAAAAAATATATATCTGAAGCTTTTGATAAGGTTTGGCATGCTGGTCTTCTCCATAAGCTTGCTTTATTTGGTGTATTTGGGAAAGCTTTTGAGATTATCAAACCATTTCTTTTTAATCGCTCTATCAGTCACACTCAAAGACCAACACCCTTCTTCATTACCAGTAACTTCTGGGTACCTCATGGTTCTCTCCATGTTTCTGTATCTAAAGTAGCTCTTTTTGCTGATGACTCAACTTTATACTCCTGTCTTGAAAAAATGTTTTTTTTTTTTCGATTGGTTGAAACAGTCAGCCAATCTTAATTCTGATTTCTTTTCTGTAACAATTTTTGAACTTTAAAAGTTATTTAGTGCAAACAACAATCAAAATAATGTCAACATTCCTATATTAATAACAACGCTTTAAATGAGTCCAACGCTTTAAATGAGTTCTTTATGTCTTCTTGGAATATTGTTCACTACTGAATTAAGCTTGAATTGAACGATCACAAATTTTTAGTCTTTAAATTTTTAGCTTTTTAAAAACCGTAAAACCTTTTTTATGTTGTTTCGATCACTAAACTCAATAGAAATTATTCAATAAAAAATATTTACGTCAGTTATGATATAAAATTTTATCATAAAACCATATTATTACTATTATTTTTATTATTATTAAAGATTATAATTTAAACTTCCAAATTTTAATTTATTTTTTAAAACACCAGATAAACTAGAAAAATAAAGCATGATATAAATATTAAAAAACAACCTCACAATTAACAACAGTCTAAAGGAATTTAGCGGTGATCAAATATTTTAAATAAAAGATATTGTTAAAAAAGATACTTTTATGTCTTAAATCTTATTCAATTCTTATAAATTAATTAACATATTTTAAAAAATATATTTTATATTTTTATCTATTAATTTCTAATTTATAAATTAATTATAAATAATTCCCTAAACTTTAAATAAAAATCTTTTTAATGTTTCATACAATGCACAAGTAATAATAATTTTTGTCTTACAACTTTTTTATTTAATAATAACCTCTACATTATTAAAACGCTTTAAATTAAGTAACAATTCACTGTTAATGATTTTTTACATAAAGCATTAATGTATTTTTCTTTAGTCTTTAAATGAAAAAAATTATCAATTAAAGTTAACAAATTAAATTATTAACAAATTAAATTAAATTATCAATTAAAGGAATAGCTTTGTTCATTATTTTTCGTTTTCATCTTTATTTTTCCGAAGAATTTAAAAGTATTTTTTGTTGTTATCTTTTAAATGTATGTAATTATTAAAATATTGTTGGAAGTTTTTACATCATTTAAAAGAGTTTCGCTTAGTCTATGTTATAAAAAAAAAAACATTTTATTTTGTTCGTAAGTCAGTCACCATTTTTGTGAAACACAACCCCCCCCCCCCCCCACACCTTAAAAAAAAAGTGTTATTAAAAAAAGTTTTCTTCATTTAAGTTTAATTGTTTAAGATTTTTTTAAAAAAATAAAAAAATGTCTATTTATTTTTTTGTCAATTAATACTATTTATTTTTTATTTTTTTACTATTAATATTAACTATTTTTTAACTGTTAATACAATTTTATATGGTGCGGTAACAAAGCAGACGGGACACTACTAGTTTTATATTATAAAAACATTTGTAAATTTTTCAAAGTTATTTATTTCAAACGTAATTATAAAGGTAATTTGAATAATCTTATTGTTTATTATTTATTTTATAGTTAAGTTTTGTTTTTGTTTTTTTTTATTTTTTTTTTATTTATTACTAAGCTATTTTTATTTTATTTTTTATTATTTTTCAAGAAGATTTTTTTTAAGAAGGTTTTTTATAAGTTTTTCAGCACTTTAAAACTGTGGTCAAATCATCAAAAAAAATTATTTACATGGTCATATAAAGCCATGAAATCGCACGCCTTCCTGACCAAGCCTGGTATGTATGCATGTATGTATGTATGTATGTATGTATGTATGCATGTATGTATGTATGTATGTATGTATGTATGTATGTATGTATGTATGTATGTATGTATGTATGTATGTATGTATGTATGTATGTATGCATATAATTATCTTTATTTTAAACTCTGATTTAGTAACATTGTGTTTAAAACTTTGTATTCAAGACTATCAAAATTTTTTTTAACTTTTTAACATAGTTTATGAAATCCTTAAATACTTATGACCTCACACCTTATAAACCTCACTGAAGCCACCTTTACCAATCATTTGCAATAAAAGATAACGATCGTGTAATATTGGGTGATGATTAAACCTAAGAAATAACAACACGTGAAAATTGTATGCATGACTTTCTTTTTTACGCAAAAATAATATAAAAATAGTAACAAAAATTGTACAAAAAAAAGAAAAAAAAAAATATTTATAAAAATTAACTTTAATTTAAAAAAAGATTTTTTATTAACATAAATTTAAAAAAAAAAAAATATTTTGACTTTGTAGACTTACCTTGATTGATCTTCATTGTTTATCCGTTTCAATTCTCGTATATGCACATTTCTTTCTCGCTCAAGTTTTTCTAATTCTTGTTGGACTTCTTGCTCTTCTTTCTTGATAGCATTCACACGTAGGCGTAGAATTTCATCCTGCTCGTGATAATCAGAAAGAGACAAGTTGCTGAAAAGCAAAAAATAAAAGGATATAAAACTTCTTTGATTATGTTTTTTTTAATTTTTTTAGAGCATTTGACTACAATTTATAAAAAAATTTGTCAACTTAGAATTGGTTTGATTAACAAACCAACTTTCATATTTTTGGTAAAATGCAGTAAAGTTAGGGAGGCCATTACTGCTCCAATTTTTTTATATATCTAATTTAAGTGCTTTAATGTATTAATTTTACTTGAAAATTATTAATAAAATAAAACTTTAGGCTTTTTTTTTATCTAAAATTAAAAAAATATTAACATATCTTATTTGTAAGTTCACTGCTCGTGTGTGACCATTAACATATCTTATTTGGACAAAAAAGCTGCATTGAATACAAAACCTATGAAAATTTTATAGGATATTGAACAAAATAGGATGATAAACAAAGCAACACTACATCACACATAGTATATAATCTTGTTTGCTATAACAATTTTGCAAAATAAAATAGCATGGAAAAAATAAACTCAAAAATTATTGCTTTAACCATCATATATGTTATCACAAATTGAAGAACTAATAACTATACAGGTTATCACAAATAGAAGAACTAATAACTATACAGGTTATCACAAATTGAAGAACTCATAACTATACAAGTTAGCACAAATTAAAGAACTTATAACTATACAAGTTAGCACAAATTGAAGAACTAATAACTATACAGGTTATTACAAATAGAAGAACTAATAACTATACAGGTTATCACAAATTTGAAGAACTAATAACTATACAAGTTAGCACAAATTAAAGAACTAATAACTATACAGGTTATCACAAATTGAAGAACTAATAACTATACAAGTTAGCACAAATTAAAGAACTAATAACTATACAGGTTAGCACAAATTGAAGAACTAATAACTACACAGGCTATCACAAATTTAATGAACTAATAACTATACAAGTTAGCACAAATTAAAGAACTAATAACTATACAAGTTAGCACAAATTAAAGAACTAATAACTATACAGGTTATCACAAATTGAAGAACTAATAACTATACAGGTTATCACAAATTGAAGAACTCATAACTATACAAGTTAGCACAAATTAAAGAACTTATAACTATACAGGTTATTACAAATTTGATGAACTAATAACTATACAAGTTAGCACAAATTTGAAGAACTAATAACTATACAGGTTATCACAAATAGAAGAACTAATAACTATACAGGTTATCACAAATTGAAGAACTCATAACTATACAAGTTAGCACAAATTAAAGAACTAATAACTATACAGGTTATCACAAATTGAAGAACTAATAACTATACAAGTTAGCACAAATTAAAGAGCTAATAACTATACAGGTTAGCACAAATTGAAGAACTAATAACTATACAGGTTATCACAAATTGAAGAACTAATAACTATACAGGCTATCACAAATTTGATGAACTAATAACTATACAAGTTAGCACAAATTAAAGAACTAATAACTATACAAGTTAGCACAAATTAAAGAACTAATAACTATACAGGTTATCACAAATTGAAGAACTAATAACTATACAGGTTATCACAAATAAAAGAACTAATAACTATACAAGTTAGCACAAATTAAAGAACTAATAACTATACAAGTTAGCACAAATTAAAGAACTAATAACTATACAGGTTAGCATAAATTGAAGAACTAATAACTATACAAGTTAGCACAAATTAAAGAACTAATAACTATACAGGTTAGCACAAATTGAAGAACTAATAACTATACAGGTTATCACAAATTGAAGAACTAATAACTATACAGGCTATCACAAATTTGATGAACTAATAACTATACAAGTTAGCACAAATTAAAGAACTAATAACTATACAAGTTAGCACAAATTAAAGAACTAATAACTATACAGGTTATCACAAATTGAAGAACTAATAACTATACAAGTTAGCACAAATTAAAGAACTAATAACTATACAAATTAGCACAAATTAAAGAACTAATAACTATACAGGTTATCACAAATTGAAGAACTAATAACTATACAAGTTAGCACAAATTAAAGAACTAATAACTATACAAGTTAGCACAAATTAAAGAACTAATAACTATACAGGTTATCACAAATTGAAGAACTAATAACTATACAAGTTAGCACAAATTAAAGAACTAATAACTATACAAGTTAGCACAAATTAAAGAACTAATAACTATACAGGTTAGCACAAATTAAAGAACTAATAACTATACAAGTTAGCACAAATTAAAGAACTAATAACTATACAGGTTATCACAAATTGAAGAACTAATAACTATACAAGTTAGCACAAATTAAAGAACTAATAACTATACAAGTTAGCACAAATTAAAGAACTAATAACTATACAAGTTAGCACAAATTAAAGAACTAATAACTATACAAGTTAGCACAAATTAAAGAACTAATAACTATACAGGTTATCACAAATTGAAGAACTAATAACTATACAGGTTATCACAAATTGAAGAACTAATAACTATACAAGTTAGCACAAATTAAAGAACTAATAACTATACAGGTTAGCACAAATTGAAGAACTAATAACTATACAAGTTAGCACAAATTAAAGAACTAATAACTATACAGGTTATCACAAATTGAAGAACTAATAACTATACAGGTTATCACAAATTGAAGAACTAATAACTATACAGGCTATCACAAATTTGATGAACTAATAACTATACAAGTTAGCACTAATTAAAGAACTAATAACTATACAAGTTAGCACAAATTAAAGAACTAATAACTATACAGGTTATCACAAATTGAAGAACTAATAACTATACAGGTTATCACAAATAAAAGAACTAATAACTATACAAGTTAGCACAAATTAAAGAACTAATAACTATACAAGTTAGCACAAATTAAAGAACTAATAACTATACAGGTTAGCACAAATTGAAGAACTAATAACTATACAAGTTAGCACAAATTAAAGAACTAATAACTATACAGGTTAGCACAAATTAAAGAACTAATAACTATACAGGTTAGCACAAATTGAAGAACTAATAACTATACAAGTTAGCACAAATTAAAGAACTAATAACTATACAGGTTAGCACAAATTGAAGAACTAATAACTATACAGGTTATCACAAATTGAAGAACTAATAACTATACAAGTTAGCACAAATTAAAGAACTAATAACTATACAGGTTAGCACAAATTGAAGAACTAATAACTATACAGGTTATCACAAATTGAAGAACTAATAACTATACAGGCTATCACAAATTTGATGAACTAATAACTATACAAGTTAGCACAAATTAAAGAACTAATAACTATACAAGTTAGCACAAATTAAAGAACTAATAACTATACAGGTTAGCACAAATTGAAGAACTAATAACTATACAGGTTATCACAAATTGAAGAACTAATAACTATACAGGCTATCACAAATTTGATGAACTAATAACTATACAAGTTAGCACAAATTAAAGAACTAATAACTATACAAGTTAGCACAAATTGAAGAACTAATAACTATACAGGTTATCACAAATTGAAGAACTAATAACTATACAAGTTAGCACAAATTAAAGAACTAATAACTATACAGGTTAGCACAAATTGAAGAACTAATAACTATACAGGCTATCACAAATTTGATGAACTAATAACTATACAAGTTAGCACAAATTAAAGAACTAATAACTATACAAGTTAGCACAAATTAAAGAACTAATAACTATACAAGTTAGCACAAATTAAAGAACTAATAACTATACAAGTTAGCACAAATTAAAGAACTAATAACTATACAGGTTAGCACAAATTGAAGAACTAATAACTATACAAGTTAGCACAAATTAAAGAACTAATAACTATACAGGTTAGCACAAATTAAAGAACTAATAACTATACAGGTTAGCACAAATTGAAGAACTAATAACTATACAAGTTAGCACAAATTAAAGAACTAATAACTATACAGGTTATCACAAATTGAAGAACTAATAACTATACAGGTTATCACAAATAAAAGAACTAATAACTATACAAGTTAGCACAAATTAAAGAACTAATAACTATACAAGTTAGCACAAATTAAAGAACTAATAACTATACAGGTTAGCACAAATTGAAGAACTAATAACTATACAAGTTAGCACAAATTAAAGAACTAATAACTATACAGGTTAGCACAAATTGAAGAACTAATAACTATACAGGTTATCACAAATTGAAGAACTAATAACTATACAGGCTATCACAAATTTGATGAACTAATAACTATACAAGTTAGCACAAATTAAAGAACTAATAACTATACAAGTTAGCACAAATTGAAGAACTAATAACTATACAGGTTAGCACAAATTGAAGAACTATAATTATAATAGTATGAAGTATCATAACTGTAATGGTTTCAGAGAATCATTTTAGTCTTCTTTATTATTTAGTTTTTATTATTTTTTTTAATTATTTTTTTCTATTATTATTATTTTGTAGTTGTTTCAATTCATAATGCTTGTCAATTTCATAGGAAATATACTTCAATATTTTGACTATAGTTGGCCATTGCAGTAGCAGTAATTCAGTAGACTTTTGTTTCCTTGTACTTTGTATATATCCAATTCTAAAACTTTTAAAGTCTTTATTAAATGATATTCTAAAATTGACTTTGAACAATTTGATTATTTTCATCTAAGGCATTTTGGATAATAGAGACATTTTGGATAATAGAGACATTTTGGATAATAGAGACTCTTGAAAACTAGTGGAAACTTTAAGCTTTTTGGAAACTAATAGACTTACCATGACCCGTATAATCCGGTAAGTCTATTCAACACTATTTCTATACTTATTTTTTATATAGTTGTATATTATATTTTTTTTATTTCAATAATTTTTAGTAATAGAAAATTAAAATCTTTAAAACAATTTCATTTTGAGTAAACTTTATTTTAATGTTTAATTTAACGTTCAATACATTATAACTTCTTATAGTAAAATTGTATAAAGCTTTAAACTCTTTAAAAATTGTATAAAATTCTTTAAGTTCTTTAAAAAAACAAGGACTGGCTTATTAAATTTTTTCTTTATTAAATTTCACACCATAATTTTTTTTCAGACCATTTACAGCTTACTAGGATCCTTGCCCCATTATTTAATTTTGAAGAAAATAAACGTTTGATTGTATAATCTTTTTTCCTATAAGAAAGAAAGTCTATAAGAAATATGTGTTAAACACACAGACTTAACTATTTACCTGAGTATGTTAATAACATAAGTATCTCTATCACTACATATGCGCAACAAAATTCTCCTAGTGTTTTGTTGCTTTTAAAAATTATTGTTTGCACAATTTATATATATATATATATATATATATATATATATATATATATATATATATATATATATATATATATATATATAAATTGTACAGGCATAAAGTTTGAACCACAATGATGCACCTCAGAACGCTGAGCCAACCACTTCGACCATTAAGGCTTATTGTTCATTAAAAGTTTTAACACTATTAAATAAACAAAAAACATTATAAAGCTGCAAATAAATGCTTTAAATCAAAATTACAAAGATGTTGCTGCAATGCATTTTTCAAGTAAAAGTAAAATTGTAAAACTTGATGTTTCAACATAACATAATTTGTAGTTTTTTCCAACCACAAGAAACTTTTTTACATTTTTATTACTAACTCCAACATCTTTTAAATTTGCATTCTGAAGTTAAAAGGATGAAAATAGGAAAAAGTAAAACAAAAAAAACAAAAAACATTTATTCTCCTCCTTTTTTGGCAATCCCAACTGTGTTGGTTACCTATTTTATTGGCTGCACCTGTCCCTTAAACCCATTGTTTCCTAAAGTTAATACTTTTCATTCATTATGTAATAGCTATACACAAGAAAATTTGTATAAAATTAAATTGTGCTTTATTTGAGATAAACCATACTTTATTTGAGACCTTGCGATAAAATTTATTGATTATATTATTAAATTAGGAATACCTTGCGGGTGCACCAGGTACAACAAATCCTTCAGAAAGCTTTGCTTTTTTTTCTTTTTTTTCTGTAAAATTACCCCAAAAGAGTAAATAAAAACAATGGTAAAATAATAATAATAACAATAATAATAGTAAATATATAATAGAGTAAAGTAGTCTAATAATTCTGGATCATTGATCAAGTAAGTATTGAATTTGATTGCAATGTTGATTTTTCGAATAATTTAATAATTTTTGTTAGGGAACTTGTTTTGCTGTTTTTAGAATGACTGAACCCAAAGAAATAACTTTTAGGGCAAAATGGTAAACAAATGATTTTAAAACACACTATATTCTGTTAGGCTCGGAAATTTGGTAGCATTGCAAGATTATGTTAAAAGTGCAATATTTCTGAAACAGTAGAAACTGAGTTAAAACAAATATTATTTTGCTTTTAAAAAATAGGATTTGGTATAAGAGTATAACTTAGAAAATATGCATATGAAATATGTGCTCAAAAGGAATTAAATTGCTGGTACTATTTTTACTAATTTTAAATTTTTATTATAAATTCAAATTTAAAAAAATTAATCAGTCACTTTTTTCCATATATCTAAATTAAGTAATCAATTAAAATAACTATACTAAAGAAATAAATATTTTCAGACAAATATTGGCTAGCAGGATTTCTCAGAATCCATCCTAATGTTAATGCCAGGTAATGTAAAAATTTTAGTGATGGTAGCCTAATGTGATTCAATGCAAAAAATTTTCGAAATATTTAAACTTTACCAACAATCTTGTTGGCAAAGTCTAAATTTGGCACACCATCTTGTTAGCAAATCTTGTTGGCAAAAACTAAATTTGGCACACCATCCTAAATTGATTTAGAATGCCAATGAATCTGGATTGCAATTAACAATGACAAGTGCTCCTGTAGTAATGACAAAAAAAGAGCAAAACCTGTACACACACAGCTACTCACACAGATAGAGGAAAAACTATTACTATAGTTGAATATACAAACGCTACTGAAACTAACAAATTCTACAGATGATTATGTATAAAGGCAAAAACTCAAAACATGAGCACAAGGATAATTTGCCCCCTAAAAGTATTTTTCACATGACTCCAAAAGGATATATTATTAAGGAAGAATTTTGCACTTTTTTGATATTGCTGTAATAGAAGAAGCCGAAAAGTTAAACATCCATGTGATTTGTTATCAGAGCATTGTAGTCATGAACTTTAACCTCTGGATAAAAATGTCTTAAAAAACCATTTAAAAATTGCTGGAATGTTGCCATTGATAACATCTAAAGAAACTTTTATCGACAATCACTGTCAAATCTGCAATTTCCACTATTATTTAGTGAAGCATGATTGCATACTGCTACACCAGTAAATGTCATATCAGGATTCAGATCTACAGAAATCTATCCTTTCAATTCTAATATTATTCTGCAAGTAGCTTTTGCTACCAGTGAAGTTTTTAATCGTACAAACGTAAAATAAACGTGCAAGCTGTTCTTATTGATAGAGTTTTAGTTGAGGATAAAATGACTGATATGCTCGGACAGAGTGACACAAAAATGGTCACAAAACATAATTCGAAAAAAACTCAAAAGTCATTGACAAAAAGAAGTGAGTGATGAAGATACGTTTTGTGGTGATTACGGATTCTTATACTAAAAGAAAAAAAGATAATTGGATTGAATGCACCAAGTGCAAAACTTGGTTCCATGAGCACTGTGACAAAGGAAGCATCATAAAAAGTGGCTTATGCACTTTGTGCGAAGAAGGGTGTACACCATTTAGCAAGATCGACTAAATGATTAGATTATAACTATTTGTAATAAAAAGTTCAGTAAATAATATAATTTAATAAACAATGATTTATTAATCATATCTTCAACTTAACTGCATTATGAAAAGTGATATATAAAAAAATTTTATTTCAGTTGAGACAAATTTTTAGAGCTAAACAATCTTACAATCTTACTAAAAAAAATTTTTTTTTCAAAAATTTACAAAATAATAATTAACAAAATGTAAAAGGGTTGTGTTAATAGACTACTTTACCCTATATAAAAATAACAACAATAATAACAATAACAATAATGGTTAACTATAATAAATTATAATAAAGTTATTGATTCATTAAATTAATTACTTATTTTTTTAAATTTATTACTTCTTTTTTAAAATTTACCTGGTTTTTCAGAAGGTTTTCGCTTCTGGAGATTCTTTTTAAATTTATCAAGTTCTTCTTTTTGTTGCATAATGTCTGAGAGTTTTCTAAAAATAAACATGTTAAAAAGTTGAGAAATTAACTTTTAGCATTCCAGAAAAAAGACACTGTTTGGTTTTACTTACATTACAAAATAATTACAACAAACAATTTAAAAAAAAAGAATTTTTTTTTTCCCCCTGTGATCAAGCAGTCCTTGAAATTAGAAAATACAAGTTCTACAATTTATTGCCGACCTTATTTTTGGAGGGCATAGAGCAAACATAAGAATATATTGAACTTTGCGCTGACTTTGCTTATATATATATTTGGACTTTAATATTTATTTTAAATGTTATTGCATGATGGGATTCCATAATATCAATAGGTCAACTAATATTGTTCAATGCATTTGTTGCTTGAAATATTTGTTACTCTAATTAAAAAATTTGCTTGCATAAATTATGACTTATCTAATTTATGGTAGAAACTTTCTGGATCTAACATATAGGAAATAAAAAGTATAAGTTATTTAATAATTAATAATAAAAACATTTTTACAGTTAAAATAACTTCACATATACATTTGGGATGCTAGTGACATGTAAATCATTAACTGATATCTTTTTTTACTAAAGTTTAAATTTTTTTGGTATATTTATGTACCAGCTCCTGCTTCCCAATAATGACATCAATAATTAAGGCTTTAAAAACCATCCTTAGAAGGTTAATGCTTCTTAAGTTAAAAAATGCTACAAAAAACAAAATAGAACTAAATAAACATTCAATTGCCACCCTAAAAGACCCTATAGAAAAATTTTATTTAAACAAATTTTTAAATATATAGCCATGTCAATGTCAAAACAATTTGAACATCTTGATGATGACCTGTTATTCAAACTCCATCTAATAACAGCAGGAAAAAACACAGTTCTATAACACACACAAAAAAAACACAAGAATCAAACAGCAAGAGTTATTTTGATTTATTTTTTGGATAGCACAATGGCGGCTAGGGTGTGCCAATTTTTGATTTTTTTCGAGAAAAAAACTGGTGAGTTACTAAAAGTTGCAGAATTTGATGGAGAATCCAAATATATTTTTAAAAATCGAATTAAAAAATTTTTTGCTTAGGTGATTGAACTTTTTATATTTCAATAAAATTTTGACCTGATTTCTCAAAAAAACCTGGTTTTTACTTGCACATTAATAAGCTTTTTTTCTACTTTGTTTGATAAATATCAGTTGGAATATAGATGTTGATTAAAACTAATTCTAGATATTATTTTCTTTAAGAGTTTGTATAAAATATAAAAGAAATATTTCTTATTTCAAAACTTTTTTAATATGTATATTAATTTAAAACTGAAATTAGAATGAGATTAATTTATAAATGTTAAAATATTTTTTAATGTATTTTAAATACAGTTTGACTTAACATCGCATAATAATTTTATTGGTATTGATGCTAGAAATACAGTAAGATATTAAAAAAAACCCGAATTATTTCAATAAATATTATAAATTTAATACAAAAACATGTGTCAAACTTTCAAGGTCTTGTTTACTATTATTTTTAGGCATTAAATTTCTACTCACCTCTTGAGTTTGGACAAATCCTTCTCTCTTTTCATGAGTGTATACTCTACTTGAAGCTTCAGTAACTTGCTTTACCCAACGTTCAACAGATTGTCCATGAAATTGCCAAATCAGTACCTGCATAGGATTTGATAAAAACACATTAATTTCAGAAGTTGTTAGAGAGGTAGTTAAGACTGGTTCATAAACCGGTGACTCCCATGATATTAGGTCTAACAATTTTTCAGCATTAAAGTTCAGAACAGACGTTTTTCTTGGTCTAGGAGAGGAGTCACCTTTTTGTAGATCTTCATTTCTAGTACCTCTAATATCTTTTATCTTATTAATAGCTACACTTCTTATTCTTCAATATTAGAACACAACAATGTTTGTAGTATACACTCACTGAAACAAAACCAAGCTGATCTTTGAATAGAGGGTGATACTATTTTAATGACATCTTCTTTTTGAAATTTGAGTTGCTGCAGTTGGTAAAGTACATGTTTAGAACCTTCAATCCAAGAATGTTCAACTTTAATTTTAAACCAACAAGGAAAATAAACACCTACAAAGTACTTGGTGATAGATCTTAAATTTTCTAAACCTTTACCTTGAATTCCTTGTTTATATGTTTATATTCTACATATTCTGATGTAAATCCCAAACTTGCACTCGACCACTGGTGTAATAAGGCTGGAAGTATATGGCCATCTCTTTTACAGGATAATTTCTTTGTTTTTATGTCTTTGCAGCCCTCTCTTAATAAAATTGCATATCTTATAACGTCTCTGTTGGTTGGTAATTCAGAAACAAGAAATTGTTTTCCTGTACCAAATGCAACACTAATTTGCTAATACTTATTCTGGGTGCCATTATTCCTCCAAGTTATAAAATATTTAAGAAGAATTTATTATTTTTTAGTAATGAAAATTTTTTTTTTTTAAATATTAAGGGAATGAAAGCAATTGATTAAAAGTTCTTAAATTTATATTTAACAATATGCAGTTCGCAGTTGTTTACTTAATGCGGCAATGAAAAATTAATTTACTGACATTATAAAGATAAAAAAATCATGTTTGAGTAAACTTTTTTTTTTTAATAAAAAGTTATTTTACACATTTAATACAAAAATTTTTCAAATACTTTATACATATTCAGTTAAATGATTTTTATACATATTAAATATATATAATATACATATTCAGTTAAAAGATTTTTTTATAAACTTAATGTAACTTTGTTTTGTTGTTTAAAATGTTTTTTTTTTACGTACAGAATTGTCTGGTAACGTTGTTATTCCGTTTAAAAGAAAATAAAAACCGTTAATACTTTTATAAAAAGTCACCTAAGTAAATTCTGATTTAAAAAATTTTAACAGATTTAGATTCTCCGTAAAATTTTGCAACTTTTACTAATACCTCAAATTTTATTAAACTTTTTTTTCAAAAAAAGTCCAAAATTGACACAACCTAATGGCAGCTTAATAATTGAATATTCTAATAAAGATTTTTAAATCTTAACTGTTACTTTTTACCAATGAAGAAATTTTTTTCTGGGTCTTTTTTTTAAAAAAAAGACAGAAAAAAATTTGTAAATAAAATTTACTAGCTTTTAGTTTCCATTATTCACTTTTCAAAAATTACTTTTTTAAAGTTTTGTGTTAATTCAAAAAATAATGAAAAAATCAAATTTTTAATTCACTAGTGACCATACTTTCACAATAAGATTGTTTGAAAAAATACAAAAATTTAAAGAATAAGTAAATTATTTAAATTGTTTATATACTAAAAAAAAATAACATTACTAATATTTATTACTTGAATGTTTTGAGTCTCAATAAAAAAAATAAAAAAAAACTATTTTTAATTTGCCACCAGGCTAACTTAAGTGCTAGTCCATGTCTAGAAGGTAAGCAAATTTCAGAAGAGAATGTCTAAAGTGTCTAGAATGTCAGAACAATCAGAATTGTCATTTACATTATAAATCTTATAAACTTGATAATATTAAAAAAAAAGTGTATATAAAAAATAAATAAATAGTCTACTTGTTTATTTCTATAAAAGCATATCCATCATTCCATTGTTCCACAAATGATGCAGCCTGCCTGCAAGTATATTTCAATGTAAATATGTTTAGATATGTGATATGCACAATATATAAATACAATATACAATATGTACAATATATAATAATAATAACAATATTAGTAATAGGTTAAGCTGGGGTAAAACGAGGTACCTAAGGAAAAAGCCCTTCTATCGAAATCAAAACAAATTTACTTGAAAATAAAAGAATACAACATTGACAATATTGTAATAAAGCAAGAACCCCATAGAATGTAAACTTTTTAATTTATTGAACTTTAAAAAAAAAATACACAATTACCTTATTTTGCTCCATGCTTGAAGTAAAATGGGGTATTTTTGTAATAAGTTATAGTCATAGCTTAAAATCTATAAAAACTTTAAATATAATTTATAGCAAGGCTTAGGTTTTAAATCTAAAATAGCAAGTATCTAAAGTCTAAAATAGTTAGTCTCACTACCTGCTAGTAGGCCAATAGCCCTATATTAGCTATACTAGTATATAATACATTATAAAATATAAAGGCTGCTATAGTATTATAGGTTTAATTGTCAGTTTATTTGAATAAAATTACAATTAAGCTAGAAGCATTATACGTTTATAACTCACGATTTAAAAGAATTACACAGTCTGTGGAAAAAATGGAGAAGAACCCCATTTTTTCCTATTGAAACTAAACCATTTTATACCTTTGTTGTTGCATTATAATTGAAAATGGGTTAATTTTATTGTTATATTAAAAGCCCTAATGTAGACAATAAGTCATTATTCAAATACAATAAAAGCTTTAGTTTAAAGCTTTAATTATTAAGTAGCAGTTCCTTAAGTCATAAGTTAAAAATTAGACGAATGAGATGCCATAATTTATATTGTAAAAAAAATATTGATTCAAAAAAAAAAAAAAAATCCTACAATGACGTCATTTAATAAAACTCTTTTGAATTAAACGCACTTAAATAAACTATAAAGATTACAGCATATATTTCATAGACTTGAAACAACTGGGAAAAATGGAGACGAGGAGCTTCGAGTAAAACAAAAATGTTAGTTTTTCTAACATTTTTTATGGTATACATTTATTATTTTGTTTTACTCAAAAAAAATTCAACCGAAACATTTTTTTTTTATCGTTCTCTTTAATATGAACACAACTTGTCTTGGCACTTTGGGATCCCTTCAAGAGTGGACTAAAGCTCAGGATAGAGTTGCCTAGTATTGCTTTACTTCAAATCCAATCATTTCTGATTTTTGTTTTTGAGGCTCTGAAAGGGGTAAAAAAAGGGGTAAAAAAAAGTATTTGCTAAATCCCATTTTATCCCAATATCCTGTTTTACCCCAGTTTCTCTTAATACTTAATCATATCTAAAAACTTCTCAAACAATTTTTACCTCACTGTATTAAATTGACCTAATCTTAATCTGTTAGCCATTGTGTGTTCTCTGCATCTTTTTTTTTGATCAATTGTCTAAATTATATTGAGAAGAATTTGTGTTAAACCATTTTAAAAATTATATTGAGAAAAATTCTCGCCAAACAATATTAAAAAGAATGCCCATTAATTTTGTTTAAAAGAATTATTTAAATAAGTTATTTTTCACAGTATTTTTTGAGGGGTAAAATTAGACTTAAAAATTGTTTTATGGTTTATTATCAAAACAAATTTTAAAAAGTTCGTTTTAGTTTTTAAATTTTAACTAAAAAAAATAACAAAAATTTTATTAAAACTTTTGACCTTAATTTATTTTTTGAAATAGTTTCAATAACTTTTTTGTTTAAGTCAAATTACTTTTTTTTTTTGAATGTCAAAATGAATCTTTTTTTTTTTTTTTTTTTGATGGTAAACCACTTTTGAAAAATACTCTTTGGTTGTAATAATACTTAAAATGCATTAGGGTCTAAAAAGAACTGTTGATACATATAACAAAAAAACATCAGAGATGCAAATTCAAACTCTATATTTCAAGAGTCAATGAAGTTCTGAAAATTTTGAAAAAAAACAGGGACTCTTGAATTTTGAAAAAAACTGTGACTCTAAAATCTAAAAAAAAAAAAATGAATTAAGAAAAAAAACTGGGACTCTCAAATTACCAAAAGTATGATAAAAATCTAGTTTAAAAATATTTTTTAAACCAACATTTATGTTTGTATACATCCATTATATTTAAAATGCTTAGCAGACAAACTGTAACTGCAAACCAAAGGAAGGGACACACTTCTGCTAGATTATGTTTCATTGGTATAAAACAATATTTATGGCTTTCAACCTATAAAAAGACAGCACAAACTGTCAAGAACTTTGACATTTTGTGCACTTATTATTTTTATTCCAGCAGCTAGAAGTTATAAACAGCCAACAATAATTATTACAGAGAAAAAAATTACTTGACTTATTAAAAATTCTTTAATAAGCTCCACACTTCTTTCATTCTTTTCTTTCATTTTTTTTTCATTTGCAAGCAATCCATTTGCTTGTTGTTCGAGACGGCTTATTTCTCTCCTTAATTCTTCCAAATTTCCACTATCAACAATTTTGCTATTGTCCGGCTGTTTTACAGATGATCCTGTAACCTGTTTATAGAAGGTCAATCATATAAAAATCATTTATAAGTTTGAAAAAAAGAATATTTAAAAACCTTGTTTTTAAAGCAAAATACTACATAGTGCAGTTATAGCAACATATAAGAAATAATGAATCCAATACCTCATATACTGAGATACAGACACAAAAAAATTAATCAAATATTAAAAGGAAGGGGGGTTGGGAATTTTTCCGGGTGACAGGAATAGTGTGGCAAAGTTTTATTGTTGCAAATTTGATTGTCAAAAATGTAAAAAAGGAATAGTATCGCAAATTGTAAAAACGGAATAGTGTCTCAATAGTTAATTTTAGCAAGTGCTTACTCGTTTTGCATATCTTCATAGCATACAGCTTTTACAGAATTCATTAAAATAGGCCTTTTTAACATATTCGACACTATTCCAAAGTTCATTTTTTGACACTATTACTGTCACCCAATTTTTCCATATTATAATTGTAGGTATTTTTTATAAAAAATTTCAGTTTATAAATCCAAACTAATATTTTTTACAAAACAAGCATAAAACTATTTAATGTGGTTTTAATAAGCTTAGAGTGTGAAAATTTTCAAAAAAACAATGTTTCCCCTCCCTTGTATTAAAGAAGTTTATGACCTTTTAACTATCGGTTGAACACAATCAAATTCAGCAGCCTTTAATTGTTAATTACGCAAAAACTACTTAACAGGTTTTTTTGTAATTTTTTGACACAATCAAGCTAATTGAATTATTTATTTCAATAATTTTTTACATTTTTTATTGGGCGCTTAGAAACCAAATATCTTTGCAAGTACTTGACATTATCTGCTGGATCTTGCTTTGAGTTGACTTTTTTTGAGACAGCGATCCATTTTTTCTTAAAATCTTTTTTATTTGTAGCTAATTTTCTGCTTTTCAATAAGATTCCTTTTATAATTGATGAATATCTTTCAATAACTCGCTGCTCAGAAGAATTTGGAGGAGCTTTTTATGATTTTATATTCTTGAGATCTAAGTACTTTTCTTATCAGAGGTTGCATTTAAATTTTCTCTGCAACTGACATGGATTTGCCTTTATGGAGCAAATGATTGATTTTGCTTTATATTTATCTTTAAATCCTTTCTTTTTTCCGTTTCTAGCTTCTATTTCAATAAATCGAGAATGTTTATATCCCCGCAAAATAAATCCAACTGATGATCAAGAAACAGAGGTCAATTTTGAAATAAAGGATTTTGAAGAAAAATTTCAAAAACTTTTTTTCAATTTAATATTTGTTTACTCATCTTAATCCGATAACAATGATAACCAATACTTATTACCATTACAATCAAACACATTAACTTCTGTGTGCAAAAAAATTAAAAAAATTGTCAAGTAGTTTTTGAGTAGTTAATGATTAAAAGATGCTGAATTTCATCATGTTTAATCAATACTTACACAACTATTTTGAATTTGAAGATTTTTTCTGCTTCTCAAGCCTTCCTAAAAAGCATGTGCGGTCGCATGCCTTGTTCGTCCATGTTTAAAGACACAATGACCAAGGCAGCTTGCATCTTTTAACTTATAAATTGTTTCAATAATTCGCAGCAAAAAGCTAAACTAATTTACTTAGAAAAAAATAACTATCCTTAAAAAAAAGGAAACAAAATTGTAATGAAAATAAATATAAATAAGCTAGAAAATTTAATAATTTAAAAAAGAAAATTTTTTCATAAAATTTTTATACAACTTTAGTAGTATAAAAGTAGTTTTAGTTTAGTTTTGTTGAGGGGTTGTTGTTTTTAGCTACCAAATTTGATACAAATTGCTGAAAAATACATATTATCTTTTATAACAATTTAACAACAATTGAAAGTTTTGATATGCAATTTATTAACAATTTTTATCTGTCTGTATAATTAAGAAACTAATTTGCTATGTACGCTAGTACTATTAGAAATTTTGTTAATTCTTTTTTTCTTATGTTTATTTGTTTTGACGCATTCTCCATTTTAAAATGTTTTTGTTATTTTTGACATTTTTTTCTCAATACTTATATAATAAGAAAATAAAAAAATAAATTGCTATTTATTTGTAAAATATATTATTTGATAAATTATGTTAAGACAGAAAGGAAAAAAAGAATAATATGGTTTAAAAAAGAATAATATGGTTTTTTTCATAAATGTGTTTACCGCATTTGCTGCATGTTTGAAATTGTTTCTTTTATATTGCATAATTTGCAACGTTAATACGAAATACTAATTGATAATAAATCTAATAATTGCTCTGATTAAATAAGGGTCCATTTCTAAAAGATACCATTTCTAATCAATAATAAAAGGATGGATTTTATTTTTAGAATGAATTGATTATTTTGATAAATAATTAAATTTATCAGGTGCTAAATTTTATAGTATGTTTAAAATAAAATTCAAACAACAACTAAAGATATTTAAAACAACTGTTACATACAACTGTTACATACCCTTTAAATATATATATTTTTAAATGTTATTTACCTCCTTAAGGCAGAGGTAGCTGCTGCAGTAAAAGGCTACTTTATTTAATACTAAATATAATAAATAATAAATATAATAAATCTAATAATTGCTCTGATTGAATAAGGGTCCGAAAAATTTTGTTAAAGAAGTTCAGTGAATAAACAATACACTAGCCCACAAGTTTTTGGAGCATCAACAATAACAATAGTTCATCAGGAAATAAACTATTGGGTTTAAACGCACAATTTAGATGTTTCAACAAAAGTGCAGACTATTTCAATTGGGGTAGTGAAAACAACTAAATATTTTACATTTAAATATTAGTAATAATGACTTTTGCTTTTTTACATGAAAAACTTGTTATTAAAAAAAAAAAATGTAACAAATAAATAGCAATTAATTTTCTCGCTTTCCTGTGCATTGATAAAAACAGTAAAGATTAGCAAAAAATTTAAAAAGCAAATTTAAAAATTGTTAATGTTTCTAGCGCAAATAATAAAGCATCTCCTCAATTTACTGACTGAAAAAAGTCGCAAAAAAATTGGATATCAAAAAATATTTTTATTTTTTCCTTTTTTTTTCCTCAAATTGTATCAATTTTGGTAGTGAAAAATGACAAATGCCCTAAAAATAAGAAAACAAAAACAGAAAAATATTTAGGCATATTATTTTTTGGACAACATTTTTCTTTTTTAAACATTTAATTTTTTTTTTAGCTTAGTTTATTTAGATTTTCTATTTTGTATAGTCTTTGTTTCCTTTCTTGGAATATTGTTGCTTTATTCTCTCTAATTTTTTATGGCTTTGCTGCAAATTCATTATATAAAAACGTGGTCAAGTTGTCTAAAAAAATTACTTTGAGCACCAATGAACAAGGCATGCGACCATACGCACTTCCCAGAAAGGTTTGCTTTTTGTGCAATATTCAGATGTTGTGATACCAGGTAGAAAAATTAATGTAATTTTTTTTTTATTAAAACTAACAGAAATAGAGATTCAAACAAATAAACCAAATTTTGTTGACAACAATTTAAAAACATTGTTTCATAATTTTTCTTATCTTTTCTTTATTTACCTTTATTTATTGATCCAAATTGTTTTATTTATTATTTTTTTTTTTGGATTGCAAAAAAAAATAAACCTAGTTTTATATATTAATTACTTAATGATATAAACAATTTGTCATTAAAAAAGTAATTTTAATTTAAAATAATCTTTAATTGATTCTTTGAATACTAGTTTACTGATTACTAGATTCCTTGAATACTTAGAATAATGGTATCTTAGAATTAGAATTCTATATTAGTGAAATACAACAATTGATTTTCTGATAGGTATTAGATTCACTTTTTCTCTATGAATACAGTTTATATAGTAAAAATAAAACAAACATAAAAATGAAAACTTACATTAGCATCTGTTGGCAAATTATCAGTCTAGAATTGAAATAAAAGTTAAAAATTAAAACAACAACAAACTTTGATAAAAATTCCGATACCATCTTTGATATAAATAACGATACCATTTCTAATCAATAATAAAAGGATGGATTTTATTTTTAGAATGAATTGATTATTTTGATAAATAATTAAATTTATCAGGTGCTAAATTTTATAGTATGTTTAAAATAAAATTTAAACAACAACTAAAGATATTTAAAACAACTGTTACATACAACTGTTACATACCCTTTAAATATATATATTTTTAAATGTTATTTACCTCCTTAAGGCAGAGGTAGCTGCTGCAGTAAAAGGCTACTTTATTTAATTATTTTTTTTTATTGTAGCTACAAATATTTCATAACTTCTTAATTCAAAAACAAACTTGACAAACATCTGCAAAATTTATTGTTGCTAAATATGCCAGTGCGCAGAAAAACAAGTAAAGTACAAACCTAATCCATACTTTTGTACCCACTTTTTGTGCATAGTAGGTCTGGAAGACATTATTTTTTCAATTAAAATTAAATTATAAAGATTTTATAATTTATAATAAGTTACAGTAAAGAACTTTAGTTATCTGATTTAAAAAATCGAAATTTCAAAACATATATAGACTTAAAAAATAAACAAATAACTTCAAAATAAAACTTTATAAAGACTGAAATTACCCCTATTATAATTCATAATTATTAAATTATGAATTACATTTGTGGCAACAACAAGTGCAAAATAATTATAAATGTAAATAACTTATAAAAATGTATAATACCAAAATGTTGAGCTTAAAAGTATTTTAAATAAAATACTTTAATAATATTTTAAATAAAAAACTTTAATAATATTTTAAATAAAATACTTATGGAATAATACCACAAACTTAGGTGTAATGTCCCTTAAAATCCATTTTTCCAACTCCTAGTGGAGAAAATAGATTGTAAAGGAAACTCCTTGAAATAAAGCTATGTCTGTAAAATACAGCTAATCTCTGTGTAAGAATGTTCTTGAATTTACTTACATAAGGCAAACTAAATGTTAAATTTAAAGCAACCACATTTCTCTTCAAAGCAAACCACCTGTCTGATATTTATAGATAAATGTAAAACCCACTATAAAAGGACAACCAACTATTTTTTATTATTTGGTTGCCCATACATTTCCACACCTATGTGGGTGTGTATCATTTAAGATGGTGTTGAATAATGCAACAATAAAAAATTCTCGTTCATAGAAAAGTGCTCAGTAATGATGAAATTTATTATTTTTATATTTAACTTTCAAAAAAGAGCGATTTATAATTAAAAACAAAAAAGAAAAATCTTTTTATAAACAAAACATTTAAGTTCCATAATAAAAGTTTTTTCCATTATAAAAATTTGTTGAAAGGGAACAAAAAAAAATGGCTTGACTTAACAAAGTTCGAGTTACCCAAGGTTCCTCTTAACAGGAGATTTTTAATAGTAATCAATTAAAGGATTTCGAGGGACCAAATGAAACAAAAGTTTGAGTTAACAGGTGTTCGACTTACTGGGAATTAACTATATATATATTAGAGATGTACCAGAATTCCAGCCAGAATTTGTGACTTTTATGCCATTCCAGTTCCGGTCGGAATTACAATATTTCAAGTTGGAATACCGGAACTTATTATTTGTAAACAAAATTAAAAAATCATTGTACCACAGGGCAATGAAAAGCAATGAAGAAAAGGTAAATCTAGGTAAAAAATACAAAATTCTTAACCAGCATAATGTAATTTTACTTGCAGAAATTAATTGTGTAAGAATTTCTATAAGGAATAGGAATAGGAACAGTTTTGGGCAACAAATTAGCTCATTTTTCATCAACAATGTTACCTGCCTCCGAGAATAATCTTATTTTAAATGTAACTTAAATTTTAAATAATTTAAAAGTATAGGTTGCCTAATACTGTAAATATTTTAATTTTAACCTAAATGAAAAAACAGAAAATAAAGAAATAATTTTAGATTTTAGACAAATATTATGCAGGTTAAAACTTTCAATAAAAAAAATTATAAGAAACAAATAAAAACAACATAGGTCACCCATATGCCCATTGATATATACAATCAAAATGATTGTATATATCAACAAAACTTCAGTAGAGAAGCAGTACTAGCTTTGTCCAAATTGCTGATGAAGTATGGTATAAAATCAATACTTTATCAGCACATTTTGTGATGTATTTGATATATAAGAAGTTTGCAATGAAAATACCATCAAACATCCTTTAAAAAAATATATCCATGTAAGTTAAATGCTTTGTCTCATTTTTGTAATAAAATTGAAGATGCCCTTCAATTTTATTACAAAAAACTGTATTTTGATAATAAGTAAAAGTATTTTGAAAATGTAACTTATCAACTGTATTTTGATAAGTTACATTTTCAAATCATTTTTGAATCAATAAAAAGAAAGAAAAAAGTTTTAAATATGAAAAATTAAATTCACATACACCTTAGTCATTTTGTGATTACTTTAAAATTTCTTAAACTTTATATATACTCATTACTTATTTCAAAATCACTCAACTCAATCATTCAAAGTCACTCAATTCACAAGTTTATATAGCACTCCAAAGAAAATGCTAATCAAAGTCCGTTGGAGACAATTATTGTAAAAACATCACTTCTTTTAAAGTAAGGCAATCAAATATTATATTAATGATGTAAAATTTTTGGTATTAATAAGTTCTTTGGATACAAGAAAGGAAGGCTGAGAGTTAATACATAAAAAAGGGGTTTATAATTGCATCAATAAAAACTAGTCTTTGTTCCTTGGTGTTCTTGGATAATCAAGCATTTGTAGCAAAAAATAAAAAACAAAATTTCTAAATCCAGACTTCAGAACTATTAAGTATATTATTACTTAGCCACATATAACTACCTTTGAGAATTAGGAACCACATTTTTTTTTGTGAAGGATTTTTAAATGATTATCACGCCCCTTTTAACACAACCATTATGTTCCTTTAATACTAAAAAAATATTGGACAAAGCTTTTAACTTACATGGATATATTTCTTTAAAAGATGTTTGATGGTATTTTCATTGCAAACTTCTTATATATCAAATACATCACAAAATGTGCTGATAAAGTATTGATTTTATACTATACTTCATCAGCAATTTGGACAAAGCTAGTACTGCTTCTCTACTGAAGTTTTGTTTGACTTTGCTACTTCGTTACTGAAGTTTTTTTGACTTTGCTACTTCGTTACTGAAGTTTTTTTGACTTTTCTACTACTGCTTCTCTACTGAAGTTAATAGCAGATTTTATTTTATTGTTGTACTGTATAAAACTAAAATTTTTTTTTGATATAACTATTAATTACACGATTGTTGGAGGTAAGTAGTAATGATATATATTATAGCTTGAACCTTATTCAGACATTAAAAAAATTATGTTGTAATGTTGTTGCTTCACTTAAAAATATTGTTCATCAGCATCAAATATTCTAAAACAAGCTTAAAAATGGCACACAAGATGTTACAAATAAAAGACGAAAATTTTACTTATTGAAGTAAACACACCAAATACTCCTTGGAACCCAAACTTATTTAAATTAGCTATTACTGCTCCTTTGCTAGACTATCTGACTACTGAGATAAACATAAGGTTCAGTGATAAAACTTTAAATTGTTAAAATGCACCTGTCATTTAGTTCCTTCTTTCTAATCTTTAGTTTCTGCAAAAATGATTGCAAAAATTCAGTATTCTTGTTATACTAATTAGAAATATATTATTTAGAAAGACCACATCATATATCTTGGTGATTTTAATATAACAAACTTACTAAACTCTTTACTAAAGGTTTTATTATGCTTATTTATTACAGCTAAACCAATGACTTTAGGTGAGCTTGACCTGTGGGAAATTTGGTTAAATTTCTTTAAGTTGATGAAATTTCAAAAATGACCTCAATAACAAATTTTCCAAGATTTGAAAACATTAAAATTTAACTCAAGTTACTTTTACCCTTAAATAACCTAAAAGGTTATAAGAGAATGGTAAGTAGAAACTGCAAAACCAAAGGTTAGAAGAAGTCTAAAGTGTAGAATTTAAATGGTTCAGCTTAGTTTTAATATTCACATATTCATTAGCATCTTTGTGAAAACATTTAAAACTAAACAGTTTTTGGTATATAGTGAATATTCAAATTCTTTGTTATTGTATTATAATTACTTTATATATAAATATATATATTTACCAAATTAAGATTAAAGTGTATACTAAAACTTATTGATGCAAAAAACTTACTTGAGTACCACGACTTGTGACTGCAGTATCAATATTTGAATGACTAGGAGTTGGTGAATTGCGGGCATTTGTAATTCCCATAGGAACTCTTATAGGGCTAGTAAGTATGTCCTATAAAGTAAATATAAAAAAATATAAAAAAAATCTTAAGCAATTTTATAAGAAAACACAATATATACACAACAACAAAAATATGACAAAATTAAAATAATATAAATTTAATAATTCATTCAATTAAAGTTATAATTAGCTGCCAAAGATAAAAACCCTGAAAACTATTTTTTAACTTAATATGGAGCAAAATAGATTTTTGATATCACAAAGCAAAATCAGTGTTAAAAAAATAATAGTAGTATATCAGTGTTAGCCAGCCAGATACCACTGAAAATGTAATTAGTACGCATGACAAAGAAATGAATTTAGTTGATCGATTTTTTTTTCATGCAAAAAAAAGCATTTCCATTAACAAGCAAGATGATTCATTCAAAAATTGAAAAAAACTTTATTTTTTAATTGGCGCCATAATTCTCTAGTTTTTAATGTGTTTAATAAGTCATTATTTTTATTTATTCTTATTATTCAAAAACTCTTTATTTACATTTTCCTTTGTGCAGTTAACAAATTTCACTCTTAAATGCTTTTGTTGCTTATTTAAATAAATTTTAAAATTTTGCAATAAAAGTTGTTTTAACTTTGCTTTCCTTTTGTATTATTTGATGTTTTCTTTTAGAAAACATCAAATAATACAAATTCTCTTATAAAAATAATAATAATAATTTATAATTTGAAATTTTCACTGGTTTATGGTAACCAGTATCGACAGCTCATAAAACTATACAAAAAAATTATTCAATGTTGAAAACAGTTAAATATTAACTGACATTAGGAATTGAATGGCTTCTTTCTTATTTATGTAAAAATGTTAAAATCGGGGTCCAAAATTTAGTTTTAACAAACAGCCTGTTATCTAGATTAATTCCACCATATAAAGGAGAACTTTTGGTACCTCTGTATTTCAAGTCCTTTCCGCACTTTTTGATCAATTTTTTTGTTTCCACTTTAATTGTTTTTATATTTTCACACTTTTTTCAAGCAAGCTAAACTTATTATGGGCGGCTATTGCAGCCTGGTAGTGTTACCCCTTGTTTAAACTTTTTAGATGTTGCTGAGTTCAAGTTGAAATTTTGATTCGCCTATGTATCTTTTTGAGCATTAAACTAAAAAAGTTTCGGGTTGACTATAATGTGGCAATTTAGTTTTGTTTTTTGATGTTATTTATGATACAGAAATTTTGCACATATAAAAATATAAGGCTTTTATTCCTCTATTTTATTTCAATTTTCTAGAAAGTTCTAAAAATGTTTATAAATTTGTTAGTTTCAAAATGAAGTTCTTTGTAAAAAAATTTTAACACTTTAAAAATGTACACAAAATGTTAAACAAAACGCAATAAAAAAGACATATAGAAAATTAAAAAAATAAATAAGCAATACATACAAAACATATGTTAAAATTGTTTCAATTGTTTGGTAAAGTTGTTTTAATAACACAAGTGAAAGTGCATATCAACGGTTTGGTAAAATAGTTGTTTTGATAAACTGTTAATTATTGGTTTTGTTAAACCTTAATAATTGTTGGTCGCAACAAAATTACTCTCAAATAATTAATTATTTAAAGGATGTAATGTAATTATTTTTTTTTACTAGCTGACTATTTAAAAATAAAAAACAATTGGTACTTGCAAAACATAAAAACAAAATTAAGAAATATTTGCATTTTTAAATCCCTAATTTTAAAAAAAAAGATTTTTTATTTGATAATAATGATACCTGATGTAATTATTAAAATTGATAGACTTTTTGTAATGCCAAATTAACTTTTTATTTTTTCATGAAATATATATATATATACTCACAAATATCTTATAGTCAAAAAACTCTCTTTTTTTTTACATAAAAATTCTTTAAACATACAAATTTTACTTTCAATATGAAACAACTATGTTTTATAACTTTTTTAACTAAGTAAAAGGTTTTTTAACTAAGTAAAATAAAGTAAGTAAAAGTACAAAGTAAGTAGAAGACACTTTGTGTAAAAAATACTTTGACAACTTAAAAAATGTTCAAAACTTGAAAAAATAGTTAAAAAATTGTCCTACAAACACATTTTATAAATACTCTTATAAAAAACTCATGAGTTATATAAAGCATTGTGTTATATAAACAAATCAACAAACTATTTTCAACTAAACCAATTATTTTGTTTTGTTACAATGGTTACTATTATGTAAATTCTCATAGAGTTCATATAGTGTCATCATAAAAGCTAATTCTCGCTTAAATATAAACTTTCCAAACTACAAAAAGATACATAGTCTACTAAATGTTAGAACTTAATTATACATTGGAAATTTCAACAAAAAATGGTTTCCCCTCTCTAACTGACACACATACTGTGAAGCAGTGTGCAAACTTTTTAAACTAATTTGTGCATACATGGTCTGTTGAACATTAAAAAAAGTTATTTTTAATATGCTTCATAGAAATTTGTTAAAAAAAAAAAAAAATAGGGGGGAATTTATCATAAAATTTGAAATCAACTATTGTTTAAATGTTTTTTTTTTATGTTTTTCTTTTTTTAAAGTTCTAATTGACAACTGTTATATATTAGCAACACTAACAAACTGTAATATATTATAAATATATTATATAGTAAATGCTATATCTATTACAAATCAAATGGCATTAATCAAGATGTTTCAATTTTTCAGAAAAGAATTAATAAAACCTTCTTTCCAAAATAAGTTCCAATACCACTGGAATCATTGATCTGGCGAGTTGGTTTTTGTGAAACTAAAAAAAAAATTATTAACAAACAAATATTTACAAAATATGCAAAAACAAATTAACCTCCTGCTATATAATTAGCTATGCTGTTAATAAACCATAACTATCAAATCACTTGTTCTTATTAAAACATGTATACCTTCCTTGTATTCAGATGTTGTAACTTTTCTTTTTCTACCTTTAGGAGGAGGGGGTGTGCAAGATTTTTCAAAGTTAGAAGTTGGTGATGCAGGTGGTTGTGCCTGGTAATAAAAAAATCTTAAAATCAAAACTAAAAAATATGTTTTTATTTCAAATTAAATCTCAGATTAAATCAAAAAATGTTATACTTGCTATCTTGTGGAATTATTTAAATACAACCTGAAAACTGTGCACAAAAAAAAACTTTTTGTAAGTCTTATTAAGGGAAAACAGCTGCCATTCAGTACATACAATATATACTGTACATTCAGTACATACAATATATACTGTACAAAGGCTTGAATATATTACTATACATTGTTTTATATAAATATATCATTTTATTTATTGTGTCCTCTTAAATTTTTATAACCTATTTACGAAAAATAAATAAAAAACTTAAAATACAACATGAAATTGGTCAATTAAATCACACCAATAACAGCATAACATAAAGTACAACAAAACTGTAATTTAAAGAACTTAGAACAACAATGGAGCAGAGTCTCTAGTTTGGCAGCTAGAACAGGCCTAACAACAAAAGAGCATATAGAGCAAGGAGAGGGTTGACAAAAGACTCAAAGAGTTGAGGTTGTATGAGCCAGGAAAACATGAAGATGGGAGAGAGTTCCAAAGGGTTGAAATGCAGGAAAGAAACTAGAGGAATAAAAGTTTTTTGAGCATGCAGGGCAGATACAGTAAATGTCAGATATTTAGATATATATCTATATGAGTGGGTCCAACAATGTTTACAATGAATTTTTGGACCTGTCTAGAAGAGAAAGAGCATCATTAGAAGAACCAGCCCAAATATGACAAAAATATTCCATACAGAGACAAACAAGAGATTTGTAGAGGTAGAGAAGGGAATCAGGGGTGAAAAATTGGCAAGCAAGATAAAAAGAAGCAACCTTAGCTGATACTAATTTAGCAATCGATTGCACATATGGTTTACATAAAAGGTCAATAGTAAATGATAATTCAAAAAGACCTAAAGAAGAAGACTCAGTGAGAGGATTGCCATTTATTAACATAGGAATGTCAACATTATTGAGATTTTTAATGAGTTTTTTTTTGCATTAAATAACTGAGTTATGTTGGAGTTAAAATTTACATGCCACTTTGAGCCCCAATCTGTTATAAAAGTGAAATCAGATTCAAGATTGGCTGTCTGTCTTCAAAGCAATCAAAAAGAGAAAACTTTTTGTCAAGACAGGAGTATAAAGTTGAGTTATCAGCAAAAAGAGCTTCTTTAGATATAAGGTTGTCTGGAAGAGCATTAATGTAGATAAGAAATAAAACAGAACCTAGGATAGAACCTTGAGGTACCATCATAAAATAATCTTTTTTTTGTTTAAGGACATTAACTTTTTTAAACTACCGCAATAAAATAAATTACTGCGAAAACAAGTTTATTTCACTAATTAAGAAAAACAAATCTATAAATGTTATTTTGTAAATAAATTTACAAATAGTGAAATGTCTATTTTGTTTCAATTTTTTCATTTTTTTTTTAATTTTAAATAATTAAATTTATTATTACACTTTATATTATTATTTAATATAAATCAATTTCTTTCTTTTCTTGATATTGTATAAATGAATTAAAATGTTTTGTTGTTTTTTCATTATTTCTCAAAATTGCAGCTTCATAAGTAATAACTTTTTACTTTTAAAAAGTTATTAACAAACAAAAAATATTACTTGTTGCAAAGAAAAAAACTCAAGTTAATTACTTTATCAGCACTTTTTTTTTTATGACAAAGATTTATGTTTTCAAGTATCATTTATAAAAAAATATACAACGTTGTGCTTTTACTTGCCTTAACACAAAAAAAGGTAAACTTATTCTTTATAAATATTTTTGATACAGTGTCATAAGTTATAACATGTTTACAAGGAATTTAATATTTTGTAAAAAAAAAAATAGAAATAGAGGGAGAAAAAAACAACTAATTTTTTTAAATTTAAATAACTTTTTTAATCAAAATTTCTGTTTTTACTTTTTTTAAATAATTTGTGTACTGTTTTTTTTTTCTTTTTTAACACACGCAGAGCTGCATGTTAAAAAGAAATGTGTTTCCGATAAAATATTAGGGATAAAAAACATATAGGAAAACAAAGATCATATGAAACAATTAAAGCTATGTGTAGAGGGCATGGCCTTATTAAAGCTTAAAAACTATGTATACATGTGTGTGCGCCTTACTTAGAAAATACACTGATAGGCTTAAATAGTATAAGAAATCTGAATGTGATGAGATATCATTCAGAAACATACAACAAAAAGATTTTTTATATACAAATAAGAAAAAATAAATGGTTACAAAGCAAACATATGACCAGTGGTATTTAAAAGAAAAACAAATATTTCATGTACAAAGATAATGCCTTATCCAAATGAGCTATATATGCGTATACTTAGGACAAAATAAATATAATTATATAATACAAAAATTTACATATAAAAGAGTACGCGTGCATTACAGACATTTTCTTATAGGGACAATAAATACTTGTTACATTAAAATTATTCAAATATATTTTACAAACAGATGACAATTTATATTTTCACTTTCATCTTTAAAAAAATAAATAATAAGATATAGGAAAATCATACTTTTTAATGTTTAAAACTGTTTTTTTCTTTTTTTGCTTTGACTTAACGAAAATAACAACCACTCAGAAGAAACAAAAATAAAAACTGTACACAAATTATTTAAATTATTATTATTATTTTCTATTTAAGTTTATTTTAATTTCCTATTTTGTTAGTTTTGCTTTCTTTGTTTTTAAAACTTTTTTTAGCAACACATATAATAAATCTTGTAAACAGCCATGACCAAGTTATCTAAATTAAATACTCATGTGTAGACATACAAGACAAAAAACGACACACATTTTTCTGGGAGACTAGATCATGATAGATTGCTTATTTTTGAGCATTTTAAGTTTGATATTAAATTGGCATGATATTATATTCTAATATATTTACATTATCAAAATTAAAATGGTAGTTTTTTTATAGGAAAAGAATAGTTTTTCTATATAATAAGAGTATCACAGTTGTTAGGAAGTACGACATGACAAATAAACATATGCCTAGATATATAACTAACTTATAGCTAATCTAATATTTTATTAAAAATTTAAGTTAAATTGGTGTTTATACATGTAATTGTGATTATAATGATCATATACTAACATATACTAAAATAAAGGAAAACTATTCCAAAATTTATGCTAAATAAACAAAAAAAATGCTTAAAAAAAGCAGAAAAACACAAAAAATAAAACAAACAAAAAACCCGCCAAAAACCAAAAAAAATCTGTTTTATTGCAACTAGCCATGCCTTTTATAATCCAATAGCTTAAACTTTTTTAGACTATGCAAGTAAGTTTTAACAAACTGATTACAACTACATCTTTTCTTATGTAATTAATATTCCACTTTTGTTAATAGTAAAACAGTTCTGTTGTATTTAACATTGATTTTATGAATAAACTGTTTATTATATCAACAAAAAGTGGGAAAATTAAGGTATAAAGAAAAAAAAAAGAGAAAAAGCTAAATTATTATTTAACTATTAAATATAATTTAAATAAAAAAAAATTACCGAAGTAGTTTCAAAAGAATCACTTCCAGAACTTGCATTATTTCCATTCATGAAATTGTAAGTAGGGCTTTCAAATGGCTGTTGGATATTCTATAAAAATAATAATAAAGGACTTTCAAATGCTTCTTTTTAAGGCTGCTGTCCCAAGGATCAAGCTTATATTTGCAAAACAACTGCAAAAATACAAATAGAGTTATACAAAGCGTTTAAAATGCACTAATTTAAATAAACAAAACAAAAAAGAAAAAAATTACAAGTTAACATGTTATTAAAATTTGCCAGAACAATTTAATCAATGTTACAAACTAATAATGTCATCAAATATGCTATAACTAATAATGTTATAATAGATGTATTTTGCTGAACACCGAAGAGTTTGGCAACAGAACTATTGTTTGGTTTATATTTTAGTTTTTGAACTTGAAGACTATAAACATTTAACTTTTTTTAAAAAACGCTTATAAATTTTGTTTAAAATATTAGGAAGAAACTTTGAAATGTTTATTGTTTTAGTTAATTAATAATTGCTTGAAGTGCAACGAAGTAAAAATGTTAAAGAGTTTTTATTGGAAATAATTTAAATATTTATGAGTATAACTTACACTATTTTTAATTACACAATAACATTATCAACTTAAATATTTGTTGCTTATACTATAATCTACAAATGTAAAAGTTAGGTAACAAAAATTTATATACAACATTTAACATAAATGATATAATAATATTTTATGTAATTTACATATTATATATTTGCAATGTTTTAATATAATTCAGACAAATTATATTCAAAAAGCCTTATTTTATTTTGGGTCAAACTTCACTTTTTATAATCCAGTATTTTTTTTTTAAGTATAAAACAATGTCTTAAAAAAAGTATTTATAATTATTGAGAATATTTTGAAGTTTCTAA